CAGCGACTTGAGTAAAGATCAAACAGAAAGTATCAGGTAGGAAGAGGTGTTTTTCCCGGCAGTAGAGCATGTCTACAACCCTGTATAAATTGTGGACAAAAATTCTGCAAAAAGAGGAAAGAATTTGGCCTCGAAATAGCTGGAACGGTGGACGAACTCCGGAAGAGGTTTGGACAATTTTTAGGCGAGGAACACTCAAGAGGTTACTCCGGCTACAGGACTATCACGAGCAGAGTTCTTCTAGTCTTGCTATCAACTCAAGTGTCACCGAAGAAAAATCCAAGACTAACGATTACCAATCTCAGTAGTGTTACGACCTCGTCGAGCCTAGGAGACCCGCACGTACAGCATCTCCCAGTGGTAGACCCAGGACGTCACCTTATAGTAGGAAGTGGAGGAAGTGGAACCTCAGCTTTGATGCAGAACATGACCCCCTGGAGTTCCTTGAGAGGGTAGAGGAGAATGTACGCCATACCAATGGATGTCATACCATAGATTATCCCCGAGATCATGAGCGGGAAGGCGCTAGTCTGGTTCCGGAACAACAATCGACAATAGCAATCCTGGGTGGATTTTAGAGGAGACTATCAGAAGTTTTTCCTTCCTACTTGCTACTTTGAGCAGTTGGAGAATGAGAATGCTGTGGATGCGGATATCCATCCAGGGCACCAGTTGGTACGCACGCAGCTATTGATTATGCCGAATGCAACCGAGGATGTAATTATCGGGCTGAAGTTTCTGCCTAAGGTAGGTGCTCGTTTAACGATGGCCGGACTATCATGTGTGTTCTCTGTAGCGGATCACAATCAAGATGGATATTGGAAGAGGGAACCTTTCTGCGGGCATTAGATAGCGTCATTGGACCGGATTTAGAACCGTTCGCCTTTGCATATTTAGACGACATAATTATAATCGGAAAAACAGTGGAAGAGCACCTGAGTATGTTGCAAGAGATATTCCAAAGAGTAAGGGCCGCAAATCTCCGCATCAATCCCAACAAATGGAAACTAGGTAGCTTGATCATGTTGTATAGGAAGAGGGTATTCAAACGGACCCTGACAAGGAGGCCGCTATAACGGATATGAAGCCACCTCAGAATATAATGCAAAGTTTTTCAAAAAGAAACTCGGTACATTGGTCTTGTTGTATAGGAAGAGGGTATTCAAACGGACCCTGACAAGTTGCCCGCTTTAACGGATATGAAACCACCCCAGAATATCAAGGAGTTGAGACGTTTTTAGGTGTGGCGTCCTAGTATCGCCGCTTTGTACCCGAATTCGCGACTTTAGGGCATCCGTTAAACATGTTGCTGAGGAAAGTGAAGCATGGGAGGTGCACTGAGGAGCAGCAGACTGTGTTTGAAATCCTGAAGGCGATTTCAGACTGATGGCAGCGATTGTGGTATCTGGCGGTGTTAACCAAAGAGTTTGCGGAAGGCGAGCGTGTCATAGCCTATGCTAGACGTACCCTGAAAGACGCGGAGAAGAACTATTCGGCCACCGAGAAGGAGTGTTTGGCGATTGTGTGGGGAATCCGAATGTTGCGTCACTATATTGAAGGCAGACTTCGTGGGACCTTTGCCCAGGACAAAGCACCGCAATACAACACATTTTCACAAGAGACATTTGGGTTTGAAAGGTTTTTTGTAAAGATGCTATTAATAGCTTCTGGGGAGAATATCCCAACAAAAAACTAAGGGAACTGATGAGGATCAGTGGCGAGATCCGAAACTATAGTCTTCCCTGCCTTACCCCTCGGCGGACAATGCCATACATTCCCCAATAATAAATAGTTGTTTTTTTATAAAAACAACAAACTGGGATTAAGCCTGACTATTTTGCAAAAACAAAATACAAATGGTATCCCAAATTACCCGCCAAACACTACTGAAGTTGTAGACGAGGCACGGTCATACTGTTTGGTTTATTGCTTTAACTAGCAATACCAACAACAACGTTATGTGCATTCGTCACAAAGTGACGACACATAGCAGTGGGAAATGTATTGTAGTTGTCTGTAAATGCCATGTTGACCACGAAGTCAGGCACCAACGAAACGAACTTCTCATTGGGGTCGTATCGCTGGTAACGTAAGAACTTCGAATTGTCACAAGAGACATTTGGGTTTGAAAGGTTTTTTGTAAAGAAGCTATTAATAGATTCTGGGGAGAATATCCCAACAAAAAACTAAGAAAACTGATGAAGATCAGTGGCGAGATCCGAAACTATAGTCTTCCCTGCCTTACCCCTCGGCGGACAATGCCATACATTCCCCACTAATAAATAGTTGTTTTTTATAAAAACAACAAACTGGGATTAAGCCTGACTATTTTGCAAAAACTGATCAAGAATATATATAGTTCATAGGGTAGGAAATGAATATTTCGATGTGTTACAAACGGAATGAAAAAATTAATATACCCTCCATACTATGATGGAGGGTATAAAAATATGGATAAGGAAAGTGTCTCAATTTATGCTTGGACAAAACTAAAGCAACTCTTCTGTACAAACGTATGAGCTCTGAAATTTTAGTTATTTTTACCAATATAATTACTATATTTTTCTTTCTACACCAATTTCAATTGTTATAGTCAAATTTTCAGTGGTTATGAAAATTATTTTTCACAGAAAATGATTTCGGAGCAATATTCCTTGAATAAATCTGTGAGTCGGTTTTATACAACTAGTTATGGTGTTTTTACATGATATGTAATTTACATATGTGCTGTCATTTTATTTACATATGCAATTACATATGTAGTTTTTCCGAATAGGACGAGCCCTTTGGAAGAAAATATTTCATTGTTGGAAGAAAATATTTCAATTGCAAGTCAAAGAAAAGGATGAAAAGGCAACAATTACAAATTATTATTTCGTTTGTGTGTTTAATAAAATAATGATGTTGATTTAAGAAAATATAAAAGTGTTTTTTTTTGTTTTTTTTTTTTTTGTTTTTAGGTTATGTCATATGGAAAATAGTAGGGGAGACTGGGGCACCTTCGGCAATCGCGTTTTCGATATGAATCTCTCACCGTACATCACTAGTTTCGATACATAGGTATCGAATATCGAAATAAATAACTATCACAAAGTTCGAAATTTGTAGGTAATAAACATATTTAGATGCACTGGTTTTTGTATTTTTACAGATGTTTTGTAATATTCAATTCCATTTCGTAAGTATTTCGAAATTTTAAGACAATATTATTAAAAAGTGGTTAATTACGATGTTTATTATTATAGAAATATTTAAAAATATAATGTTTTTACAAGACTGATAGAAAAAATGAAAAAAAAAAACTATAAAAAGTACCTTCGGGGTAGATTCGGCATTTTAAAGTGGGACACATTCGGCATATGCAGTTAGTGCAATATTATTTCCTTCAAATGTTTTTGAGTTTGTCTTTACAAATAATCTTTTTATATGGTTCGAAATTACATATATAAGACTAAACGTGCTAGTATTGACGAAAATGCGATCGAAAAAAAACCTATTTCTGATGGTGCGTGCGACCTTGAAATTTCAACGTCCGCCGCTAGACTATGTAGCCCTAAAATTCCAACATTGTGTCGCGTATTAAAACCAAATAGAGCTTTAGAGGATCTGAATTTCAACCATCGCTATCAGGATGATAATTACCAGGCTATGACTATGGTGCCGAATGTGCCCCATCGAATGCCGAAGCTACCCCGGGTAGGGGCACATTCGGCGAATTTGACTTTTTTACAAAACTGTAAAAATGTTTAACTAATACTAATTTTTTATATTCTTTTGGTACTAGTTTTTATAATTAAGTGTCAGAGGACAATAATTAGCCATAAAGTTTTTATATATGTTGAATAAGTACTGAGATGTAGAGCTCTAAACAAAAAGTGCCGATGGTGCCCCAGTCTCCCCTACGTAGTAGTTTTGTGTACGCTGCTAATTTGGACACACATAAGGAATTACATATGGATGAAATAAGTGACAGCACATTTGTAAAATACATATCGTGCCAGTACCTCATTAATCTTTGGTATGGGGTCTTTATTCGCCTGAAGCATCCTCCTTTTTGTACTACCCATATTGGTGGGTTAACAGGTGAGCAGGATGGTCATATTATGCCGTCCTTTAAAAACTTGTTTAGCCCTTCTAGATGTAACGTTCCCTGACAGGTAAGATAACCGGAGCTCTACATTTTTCACATCCTGAAAGCAGTGTTGACTTTTCGGTATTTTTACGATACCATACCATCATCGAATGTCTTTAGTCTGGATTCCCAAAAATATCTAAGTATACGTGGTAATTAACTTTTAACTTTATAAACTATTTCTGATGCCTGTATTTCCGCTGCTTCGTTGATACGTGCGCTTCGTTAGTATTTATTATTTATGAGAACTTTATTCCCATAGAGTTACAAGTATAAATCGATACTCGTAAGCTACTTGCGATATTATTATGGGAATGAATAATATTATCAGTCTCATGACGGAATTAGTGAAGATTCGAAATGGATTTAATAGTTGCATCTCTCACTGTTGACGATCAATGCCCCAACGGATCAATGAGATCCGATACTCATGTTCGTTTCTTAACTACGTTTGCTTAAAATTACTCAGGTATTATGGGAAGTGTGAAAAACAATTCGGCTCTTTCCATATATATATATATATATATATATACATATGTATATATATATTATATATTGATATGTTTTACCGATATTTTCTTAATTTTTTATCTGTAAATGGTTTTATCATGGTTATGGTTATAAATGGTTTTATTACAAACTAAAAAAATCACACGATGTTTTAATTATATGTCCACTTCAAAATGTATGTTTTTTACAGAAACCATCATTTTTGGAAAAATTCCATGCAATAATTTTCGATTTTCAAACTAAATCTCTTAAGTACAGTATATCTAAAATCAATTTTTACGGCAGCTGATGTTTAATTATGTGCCCACTACTGTAAATATGTGCTATAGAACTAACTAAAATAAATGTTTAAGCTTACCAAAATACAAATTCTGGAATTTCTGTAGCCTTTTTCAATTTGCATTCCAACCTTAACGTTGATCCTTCATCAATGTGTATGTCGGGAGATCCCGCAATTTCTGCTTCTGCTTCTATAAGTGTGATATAAATATATATTGTTAATTTGGAGTTAGGTTATTCATTAAATATACTTAAATATTAAAATCGGCAGTTGTTTAATGTAAATGAGCACATTATCAAGTGTTTGTTATTTATAGGAAATAATACAATTGTATTATATTTTCACTAAACAGCGATAATAAGATTTTAAATGTATGTATGAAAATAAGGGCTCTTCCATTGTTTCTTCCACAATCAAAAATATCTTTAAGGGTTTATATAGGAAAGTGTATTGAATATGCTCGTTTACATCCTGGATAATATACATATATATTTAAAATATGATTCGCACTCACCTACAACCTTCAATTCTATGAAAATTGACTGAGTCGGGTATACAGATAACTGACATTCATATAAGCCGCGATCTTCTTCTCGGACAGATTTTATTCGAAGTGACCAATGTCCCATATGCCGTGTATGCTCCACCAAAAAACGCTTGTCGCTACTGTGTGTAGACAAGCCAACAGTAAGAAGCTGAAAATCCTTTCTTCTTATCCACGACACCTGTAACATATAGATATATTTAAGTAAATTTTTATATTATACGTATATAAAGCAGTTTGTGGACGTGATTCTTTATTGTTTTTATATGAGTTTGTTTCATATACAAAACATGCTTCTTAACAAAGCATTTCTAATTAAAAAAAGTCGTTAAGTTCAGTCGGGCAGACGTGCAAAAGTGAGTACATTAAAATGGAGAATTAAGAATGTTCATGAATTTCAGCTGAATTTCATACCATTTATTCCGATCCGACGCCACTCATCCCCGCCCCTGCCTTTTTTATTTCAACAACTAAAACACTTGAAGCAATAATATCTCTTAAAAGTTTTGTAATGAAAATTGCTCTTCTCTCAAGAGTTGGGAGATCCACAAGTTTTAATCAATTTTCAGAAGGCAGGAGAAATAAATCTGGATTCCATGGTAAAAGAAGAAATTGTATTCGAACGAATTTTAATTTGTCAGAATAACAATTGTAGAAAGGACTCTAAAGTACGCAACAATATTCTATGGTAGGTCGAACAAGAGTGTCACATAGGGATAATCGAACTCTTTAGACCAACGTTTTATAAAGCCTAACAATGATATTGCTTTATTGACACAAGCCATAATATGTAAGTGGAAACGCAGACAGTCATCTAGAATAAACACCAAATCAACAAACGAGTCTACATTCTCTAATGTGTACGATCCTCCTGAGTAATTACAGGACACATGTTGTGTTCTAAAATATGTAGTTTTTGCATTTCTTGACATTTAGAGACATTCCTTTGTAGCTACGCCAATTTGGTAATTTTGCAAATAAATATATTGGTTTGGAGAATTTAGATTTGCGAAAAGTTTAAAATCATCAGCCAACATAAGCACACTTAACGTCCAAAAAGCTGATGGGATCATTTAAGTACAGACCAAAACATTACGGACCAAAGTGACTACCTTGTGGAACACTAGAAGAGAACATTTCATTAAATAATATTATTTGGGTACGGTGTTGTAAGAAAGTAGATATCCTAAGTTTTACCTTTAAAGGTTGGAATACTGTTGATTTGAAATAAGTATAGGTGATAAAGTAGATGCAACAGGTATATAATCCATATAATGTTCACCCCCCTGATCCATGTAATGTTAGGCAGATTAAAGTCACTTAGGCAAATCAATTCAGTATTTGTTGGATATGAGTATAACATTTCCTTAATAATCAGTAAATTTCTAAATTAAAATTTGTATTTGATATTTTCAATTTTATGTAGACTAATTCAATATCCGGATAAACCGATATTGTAAAGCGTTCTGAGAAGATGGAATGGTGCTCCAACGCCTATTTTATGTATTCAATCATTACGGTATATTTTATATTGATCAGATCAGAAAAGAGTCAAGGGTGTTTGGTTTAAGCCTTGATTTAGTAAAAGCAATAATTTTATATTCAATATCGACAAAATTTAAGTAAAAAAATAATAAATTTTTAAAATCGATTATGGCCAATATGTTGTATTAAATTATATAACAATTTAAAACTCATAATAAGCAGTAGCTAGTTATTTAACTTAAACGACAATTATTATAAAATTCTATAGAAATAATAGAATAGAAAAAAGTTAATCACCCCTATCCCGTATGTCGTCGACTCAAAACGACAGAAATTTTGGCCGCCTATGTCAAGTGTTTCGGCAGTTAATGGGTTTATACCCAATTTTTGGGTAAATACTCAGAATAGGTTTACCTTTGTATGGGGGCTAACAGTAAACTTGGACCTACATACATAAATTTTTGCATGGACATTTGGTACCCAAAGAGAACACTCTGTGCCAAATTACAGCCAATTTGGTAGTGAAATGTGTTTAATAGACAAAAAATACCTTAAATCGGGAGATACGGTTATAATGGGGCTATATCAAAACTTGGACCTAGGGACCCCATTTTCCATTTCAATATTTGCTTTGGCATTAAAAACATATAAGTTTATACCCAATTTTTGGGTAGATACTCGGGTATTTAAGTATCGTAAAACTATACATTCTTAATCGATTTGATAACAGAAACCCGGAAATAGGGTGTAAGATGTTGTATTACCGATTCAATATAGTAAATACCCAAATAAATACCCACAATATAGTAAGTACCCAAATATATATCCATCTCTATCCATTTGCATAGGTTACGTAGTTGTTTTCATAGTGTTCTAAAATACGTTTGTGGGAAACATTGCAATTGCAACTACAATCTTTATGAAAACTAATTTCTTGGATGTTCTTTGATGACTACGTTCATGTTCGATGCTTATATTTTTTCTGTTAAACTATGAAATATGGTATAGCAAAATATATTGCTGATAATATCCCATTTTTGCATTCTAACAGAAATTCTCAAATTATTTTTGTACGCTTTGAAAATTCTGTCGCTGGATCGCTCATTTGCCGTTTGCATTGGTAGTTTGTGGAAACAGCTTCCCCCTGGATTGAACAATTTCTTAATCTCGCCACATAAATTTAAAATTTAACTGCTGCAATATTTTTGTTTTTTGGAATAACAATATTTTATATCTTACTCGCTTACAGCATCGAGTTGATATCTGACATATTAACATTATATAAGATACTTTTTTATACGCCTTCTATCTATTTGTAACCCAATGAGGAGTTGTTTGATTAGTAAATTGGATTGAATTAATGGGAACAACTGTAAACAAGCAGGAAGCTTTCATGGGGACTAGTTCGAAACATGGACCACATTCAAAACATTTCTGCGAGGAGATTTTATACCCTCTGAAAGCTCGATATGCGAAATTACAGCTGCTTCGGTTGGATAATGAGGCTTCCTACCTTCGAATTACCGCAACTGGGCGGTACATTTTTAAAAACAACAAACTGGGATTCAGCCTGACAACTTTGCAAAAAAAACTATAAATGGTATCCCAAATTTGCCGTCAACACTACTAAAGTTGTAGACGCATTACCCGAAGTTCCTCTACTGCTGTTTGATATCGCTGATAACTTGCGAAGGCAAACATCGTACCACTTTTCTTGAGTTCTTTACATAAGTTGTTCTTTAATTTTGACAATGAAACTGAATTCCACGGGGCACCAGGTTTTTACAAACTGAGTAGCGTATTATTCGGATGACATTGATGGTATTTGTAAGTACGCTATATGCTACGTTATACAGTCGAGTACGCTTATAACGCACATCGGTTATTACGAACTTTTCTTCTAGCGAACACATTTCATACAAATCCTTACTCTTATAGCGAACTACGGATATAACGAACTATTTATTCGGTCCCAACATCCAGTTTTCATATATTTTAATTTGGTTATAACGAACTTCCTACAAATATACGTAATGCTGATGATGACAACCCTAACGAAATGTTTTACTGTAACGCTGGCATCCTTTACAAAAATGTCAGCTGTAATGGAAGATTCATTGAAGAAAAGGAGACGCATAATAAGAATTATCAAAAAGGCCACAAGACCTACCAATTTCTAACTAAATATATATTTTTCTACTAAGCCTATATTTTCCCTTACCTTGGTTATAAGGAACTTCTTTTATAACGAACAAATTTGCTTGACTGTATTACTCAGCCGAAACTTAACAGCTATAATTTCAGTATTTATTTCTTCGAAGCCGCAGCTATTAGAACACCAACGCCTCAACCTTTACTACAATTTCATTCTATGGTGTATAGAAATGTATTTATCTTGTAGATCTACATACAAATTAAACTTTATTTATTTACTTTTTCATTTAAACTTATCTTGAATTGTACGAAAATCATACTAAAGTGCGTACTAATTAATATGATCATGTGTGTACATATTCATGAATGATGGCGGCTAAATCTTTTGATTTACTGTAATTTAAAAATATTTTCCGGAAAATTACATTACATGACGTTTTCCTAAATAATTTCTGGTATGATAACTTCTTGTTCCGGTAGGACATTTGTAGAATTATATGACGACTTCTTTTCATTCTCAGAGATTAAGTCGGAGATTGGACAAATTGATCAAAAGATGTAGAATTTTCAAATGTATTTTTTTTTTTTTGCCTTTCTGTTAAGGCATTAAGTGACTTATTTCGTAAATTATTTCGAGAAATTCTTTCCGAGTATTTTTGAAGTACTGTTAAGGCATTAAGTGACTTATTTCGTAAATTATTTCGAGAAATTCTTTCCGAGTAAAGCGTCATTAATAGCACCAATGATGAAATTATGCGAAAAATCCTTTAAGTTATATCACAGAAACAGCGTTCGAAAATAAACGTTATGCTACCGTTCCTTCGTGTTCTGTACCGTACCAAGGTTGATAGGTACAGTAAAATAACGTACTGTAACGGTACACAAACACTAAAAATATTTTTAGCGTTACTGCTCCAGAGCAAAACGAAATCGTAGTGTTCCACAACTTGGTACACTTTAAAATAGTAGTGTTCCACTTATTGGAACACTAAACATTGTAGTGTTCCACTTATTGGAACACTAAACATTGTAGTGTCCCACTTGCCGGAACTGTACTGGTAGTGTATTATGACCGTATGTGGAACACTACGTTTTTTAGTGTTCCAACCGCGGTACACTACGACTTTTAGTGTTCCGACTGCGGTACCCAACGTTTTTAGTGTACCAAGCAAACGCTAAAAAATTTTAGTGTTTGTGTTCTTGGCACGGTACACTACGATAGTGTACCGTTTATTTGCGAACACTGCACAGTAATAGATACAGGAATAAAGTACAAATTTAGAGCTGTAAAGACGCAACAACAATGTTAATATCAGTGCTAACAGGTGTTTATCAAGGAGTTTCTCAAATTGCTGTTTTGTTATGAACGAAAAATAAAGAGTAGATTGAAATTAAACCGTAAAGAAAGTACGCTTTGTTGTTTTTTATATGATTCAAATTGCAGTGAATATCAATATTGAGACTTTATATGCCCAATAACCAGTAAAACAGTTAAATATGATATTTCCTTCGCTATATCCGTTTCAAGATAAATTCAAATTATTAATGTACTTACTGTGGCTGCTGAATTTAATTTTACCACGCACGGTAGAATAGCTAATCCACCCTTTTGAACCACAACCCGTGAGTTGTTTTTTGTTATAAATTGTGATCTTCCATTTGTAAAAAGGTTTTGAGGGGATGAATTTTTTCCCATATCTGAAATTAGACAAATATATATAGTAGCAACTGAAATGAGAATGAAAATTTGTTTAAGAAATCAAAATAATATATAGTAGACATTGACAACTTATTTCATTAACAGAAACAATGTGAGCCAGTCGTAATCATTAATAACAAGTAAAAAAGCGTTAAGTTCGGCCGGGCCGAACTTTGGATACCCTCCACCATAGAAATACTGACAAATTTTTGAAATTAAAACATATGGAACATACATATAACGACAATTCTTCCAATCGATTGTTGTAAACCAAATAGAAATTCAGCAATTTCAATGGGGGTTTTCCTAAAAACTCAAAACCCTAAAATGTTGACATATATTATTAACGCATGGTACGGTGAAACATGTGTATAAAATCCTGAAAATACTCCAATTTAGAGGGCAGTATTATATTTGAGACGTACTAAAGCGGGAACAATATTGACAACATTGTGTAGGAATTAGCAACTACTTGGTGTTTTCATTATATAAGGGGTTAGGCCTAATTAAGGGCCGATTTAGATCAAGTTCCAAGCTAATAGTTTAGTTTTGAATCCCAATACCGTCTATCACGCTAAATATTAAATAGGAAGGATGTTTTATATAGGACCTGGTCCTAAATGCGGGTCGATACAGTTCATTCTCAAACCTCACGTTTTAGTTTTTATGTCGATATCCTCCGAGAGAAAAATTATTACAACATATGGCTAAATCGACTAAATCATTTTAGAATTCCATACTATGTGGGCTATGAACTGAAAATTTCGTCTACAGAATATCCCCCCTACTATGGTGGAATACAGCTATATGTGATAACCCCAATACACGGAAAAAATCCGCTAACTATTTTAATATAACACGCTAACTATTTAATATAGCCCCACACAGGGGCTACGGCTAAGCCTAAATGCGGGCTATAGTTCACATATAGTTCATTATCGAACCGTACGTTCTAGTTTTTTATCTCGATATCCTTCGCAGGTGAAATGATTACAACAGAGTGTTAGAACCAAACCCAAGACGCGGAAAAATCAGATATTTATATTAATATAAATAAAAATAAAAATGGGGTTATATGGGACTACGCCTAAAAGGGGTTGACTATTAATAATTATTGGTAGGGAGATTTGTTTCCATATACGGCTACAAAATACGAAATTTCAGTGATTTCGGTTGAAAAACGCGCTCCAGAACCTCAAAATGCCGAAATTTGGGGGTACCTTTATATGGGGGCTACCAGAAAAAATGGACTTATATTTATAATTTTTAATAAAGATATTTGGTACCCAATAAGAACCCAATATACCAAATTTCAGCAAATTAGAATTAAAAAACGCGCTCAAGAACCCCAAAATACCGAAATTTGGGGTAACCCTTTATATGGGAGCTACCAGAAAAAATGGACTTATATTTATAATTTTTAATAGAGATATGGTACCCAATAAGAACCCAATATACCAAATTTCAGCGAATTAGGCTTAAAAACGCGCTCAAGAACCCCAAAATACCGAAATGTGGGGGTACCCTTATATGGGAGCTACCAGAAAAAATGGACTTATATTTATAATTTTTAATGGAGATATTTGGTACCCAATAAGAACCCAATGTACCAAATTTCAGCGAATTCTGTTGAAAAACGGGCTCCAAAACCCGAAATACCGAAAATTGGGGATACCAGAAAAAATTGACCTATATTCATAATTTTTTGTGGAGTGATTTGGAACCAATTATGAACTCAAAGTACTAAATTACAGCCAATTCGGTGGAAAAATACGATCAAAACCCCCAAACTACTGAAAATTAGGAGGTACCGTTATATGGGGGCTACCAGAAAAAGTGGACCTATATTTATATTTTTTTGTGGAGACATTTAGTACCCAATAAGAACACAATGTACCACATTTCAGCGAATTCGGTTGAAAAACGCGCTCAAGAACCCCAAAATACCGAAAATTGGGGGGTACCCTTATATGGGAGCTATGCCTAAACGTGGACCGATATATGCCATCTTCGAACTTGACCTGCCTGCAGACAAAAGACAACCCTATGCAAAATTTCATCACCCTCGGAGGATATCGACATAAAAACTAAAACGTGAGGTTTGAGAATGAACTGTATCGACCCGCATTTAGGACCAGGTCCTATATAAAACATCCTTCCTATTTAATATTTAGCGTGATGGACGGTATTGGGATTCAAAACTAAACTATTAGCTTGGAACTTGAGCTACATCGGCCCTTAATTAGGCCTAACCCCTTATATAATGAAAACACCAAGTAGTTGCTAATTCCTACACAATGTTGTCAATATTGGTCCCGCTTTAGTACGCCTCAAATATAATACTGCCCTCTAAATTGGAGTATTTTCAGGATTTTATACACATGTTTCACCGTACCATGCGTTAATAATATATGTCAACATTTTAGGGTTTTGAGTTTTTAGGAAAACCCCCATTGAAATTGCTGAATTTCTATTTGGTTTACAACAATCGATTGGAAGAATTGTCGTTATATGTATGTTCCATATGTTTTAATTTCAAAAATTTGTCAGTAATTCTATGGTGGAGGGTACCAAAAGATCGGCCCGGCCGAACTTAACGCTTTTTTAGTTGTTTGTTTTCAAATAGTCTATACGGATCTGATCTAGATGAAAATAAATGAAACCACTTCTTAACAAAGTGTTGCCCCCTTTTTTTCCTTAAAACAATCACCATTTTTGAAGGAATTTGTACAATCTGGCACTACGAATGATATACTAAAGCAGAAGTAGAAAAAAGAAAAACAAAACAAAAGTTGTGATTCAAAGCATTTTGTGCAAAATGTTAGTACACCTAAGTCTGTTTTTACATGGTCTTTTTGTAAACGGTTTTGATATAACACGGTTTGAAAATTGAATATTTTTAATTATTTTAGACGATTTTTTTCCATTTAGCACGATTTGAAATTTTATTTACTTAATTTTTTTGTCAAATTTAATTTTTGCGAAGTATGTTCATATCACAAAAAAGTATTTATGAAAGAAAAAACCATCGATAGTATCTATAGTTTGCGAACACTAGCTTAAAGATTTAAGTGAATTCCCCTTTAGCGCGTACAAACAATTTTTACTGGTCAAAGCAAATGTGAATATCACTAATTTAGAGGAATTCCCTTTATGTATAAGATCAACGTATTTTTTTACACGGTTTTTTACAGACTTAGGTGTATTTTAAAATGTATAATTTGGAAATGTAAATTAAGTATTTGGTCATTTAGGGGAAACACTAGGATTTAAAGAAATAAGATTACTTTAAAATTCAACATTTTTCCCGAATTCTCGAGAATGTTCAAAACGGCAAGAGCAATAACAGCAAACGTTCGTGAAAGAAAACAACCACCGATCAGTCTCGTTTCAGCTGTTGATGAAGGCGGTTGTGTTATCGCTTGTTATCATGATTTTTATCGTATTATTGCAGATGAAGTTTTTCGAGAGAGCAAGGGTTTCTCTCACACACTTTGTGTCTGTGTGACCAAACAAATGCGTATGTATATGTTGCCGACCGCTGTTCCACACACATTCCTTCATTGTTTGTGTGTGTTTTTATGATATTTTTGTTTGTTGTTGTTAACTGTGCTCGCGAGAATTCGCGAACATTTGTTTTTGAGTTTTTCAAAAGAATATTCTTCAGCAAAGAATGCTCGCGAAAGGATGAATCGACGACGCTTGCAGCGAAATTTTATCGTTCGTGAATTTTTCGTACAATGCGAAAATTCTCGAGAGAATGCAAATCCTTGTGCATTCGTTGTAACTTTATCATTCGCGATAAATTAAAAACATTCGAATTCTCGCCCATGAGCATTCGTGAGAAAGAGTGTATTTTTATCATTCTTCGCACCCTGCTTCTAACCTACTAAATCGAGTACAACTTACTTATATTTATTTTCCTGAAAGTGTACTATTTTCTCGATCCTCCCGATACACTAATGCAAATGATACGTTTTTCAACCTTTTTTGCTTCTTTCGGTAATTTAATGCTAATGGTAAAATATGTAGTACGTTTTAGTACTTGTGTACCCTTATACTTATATACGAATTTCTAATATAATATTTTGCAAAGCGCATCATATTATAGGGAAATTTTCCATTAAATTTGCAGAAATTTTGTATTTCTGGTATGTTACGTCTTACAAAATCCTCATTGGAAAAATTTTCGATATTTTTTGTATATCCTCGATATAAACATCCCGCTCATTATTCATAATATCGGAAGTCCAGTGTGTTGGAAACTTCATTGGAAATAAATATCTGTACTGTTAGGTAGAAGTTTTAAAAACTAGTACTTGTGGTGTTCAGTGGCTTGTTTGCATAGTTTCACTTATTTGTATATGAAGTCTCGTCCATTTCACTACATTGGAAGATTAAACCAAAATACATAATCATTCGTTGTAGTATTGGATTGGAAACTATATTTCATATAACTGTTAGTAATTTTTAGTAAAAGGTTTCGAAAAATATTTCCATAAAACATTTTAATTGCCATAGTCAAAGATAGTTTTTAGTACACATTTAAAAAAAAATAATTTTTTTTATTTGTTATAGCTAAATGTACATACACAATTTCAGGACTGCACCTCTACTCCTTCTGTCGTATACAATATTTAGTTGTTTACATTGTTTTTCATATAAAAAGCCTTGTACCAAATTCTTTATCCACCCGTATCGCCGTATACAATGCATTGTACTTTTTAGTACATTTTAATCTTCTTTCTGGAAAATATTTATGTATAAATGTTTATCGTCGTAGTTCCAGATAAGTATTTCGTAACAAGTTCCTATCTTTATCCGTTCTACCGTACCCAATACTTAGTACTGGTACCTTTAGGTACAATTTACCAACTTTTGGCGTATTACGCAATGCCAACTTCTATCCTATTAACTTGTTGATGGCGCTGGGAGTAATTATACTTTTATTTTAGAAGCAACGTACACGAATTCCAAACTCTACCTCTTCTAATCGCTCAATACACATGTAAAATTTTTAGTAGTTTCCAGGAAAGAAACTTCATTACTATACTATTTTGTTTGCGTACTAACATTTCCCACTTTTAGTACAAATATTTAGTATATTCCTATTTCTTACCATTCACTAGTGGGTACATATGTACCCTTTACAATGAATATACATATGACATACTTTCAGCTTGATATAAATGTTTTATTACTGTTTTAATGGACGAAATCAAAGTGTACATTAGTTATGTTTGAAATGATTGTTGGAATCCAAAAAAAATTTTAACTTTACTGAATTCTTCCTGCGCCCTTACAAACAAAAGAAACAAGTTTACAATATGCACGGCCGATATGCAAAATATAAGCAAAAAATATGCACGGTCGATATGCAAAAAATAAACATTATGCAAAAATAAAAAAATATGCCTGGTCGATATGCAAAAATATGCACTGTCGATATGCAAAAATATGAATGGTATTCTAGGTCGCAATATTAAAGATAGAACATTGAAATTTTGCACATATCTTATTATTACTCCTATGATGTTAGGTATTAAAAATGGGATATATCGGTCCACGTTTTAGTATATCCCCATATAACGGTTCATATATTTTTGCATATTTTATACATATATTTAGCAAATTTTTCATAATGCCCCAAATATCTAACAGTTGAACCATGAAACGCGTATATACAAAATTTTATTTTTACAGCTTAAAAATAAAGAAAGTACACAAGTTCGAGGTCTATTATATAAAAATTTAAAAAATGACCATGAAAAATTATTTTTTTATGATTAAAATTATCGCATATTTGAAATATGTTGTTCATATTTGCATATATTTTGCATAATCTTTGCTTATTTCTTGCATATCGACCTAGTATACTGTGCATATTTGCAATTTTTTTCATACCGACCGTGGATATTTGTGCATATCGACCTACCGAGCATATTTTTGGCATATATTTTGCATATCGACCGTGCATATTTTTTGCATATCAACCGTGAGTATTTTTGCATATATTTTCCATGGTTGAATGTACAATCCTCAAACTACCGCAATTTAGATTACATAGTGTAGGAATTAGCGAATATTTTGGGTTATAATTATATGAGGGCTATGCCTAATTAATGACCGACATATGTCAATTTCGAATCCAATATTTTTGTTTTGTGTATCAATTCTTTCCTTCAGGAGGTATAATTATATGGGGGAGATGCCTAAATGCTGGCCGATATATTTCATTATCGTCAGGTTCCAGTTTTTTTTTTTTTATCACGATTTCCTTAGAAAGTGGAATTATTAAATCCGATGCTAAATCGTCGTAGAATTCCATAATTTGTAGGGTAAAACTGACTATTTAGTGTAACGGCTATCCTTTATACTGTGTTAGAATCCGCCTATATTGGGACAACGCCAAAGGGGGTTATATGGGAACTACCCTTAGAATGGGGCGAATATTAATTACAGCGAATTCGATAGAAAAACGTGCTGAAGAACCTCAAAATATGCAAAATTGAAGGTGTCTTATATGGGGGCTAGCCAAAAAAATGGCCTATATTTATGATTATTAGTGAAGAAATTTGGCACCCAATAAGAAGCAACTTCGGAGGCTAATTTCCTTTTTAGCCTAGGTCCAGCATCTTCACATTTTAATCTTGGGCGACCTATTTTGTTTGGGGAAACATACTGTCCATCCATTGCTATAATTATACTTTTGCTAAGTCATTTTTGAATGTTTAGTTTTGAATCGATCTAATTTACGATTGAACAAAATCTTTAACTTATTTTAATATCAAACGCATTTGGTCTTCATTTAAACTGATATTATTGATATTCTGTAACACATAATTCACAAGAACAAAACGCCTAGTTACTCATTAATTAACACACTTTTGTTAATAACCTTTTATTGTTAACACCTTTTTGCAATGCTTTGCCATTCACAAGTTACACTCCACGGAACAAAACTACAATTAATAAATTTTATATAAAGTTATACATAAACAAAACATTTCACAGTATTACAACAACAGACAAATATGACAAAAAGGAAATCTCGTCTTAATTTTACATACCTGCACTAACGTTTTCCATAATTACACATTTTATTTTTTTTTTTCAAATTTTTTCAAATTACAAGCACTCGAACTTAGCTGATTTTTACCGCCAGTTGTACCAAAACAATGTGACTTTGAAACTGCTGACTTTTTTTCTAATATGGGTATCTACATTTAGAAAATCAGTTACATTTTAAAATATGAAAACAAAAAAAAAATACTTTATGCCAAAAAATCGTTCTTTTTACCCATAGTGCATTGTACCAAATTTCAGCGAATTCGGTTTAAAAACGCGCTTAAAACCCCTAAAATGCCATAATTTGGGGGGTACCGTTATATGGGGGCTACCAGAAAAATTGAACCGATATATATAATTTTAGGTGAAGACATTTGATACCCAAAAAGAGCCCAATGTACCAAATTTCAGCGTATTAGGTTGAAAAATATCGAAAAGTGGACTGTACCCTCATATGGGGGCGCTATGCCTAAACGTGGACCGATATAACCCATCTTCGGACTTGACCTGCCTGCAGACAAAATGCGACTTTATGCAAAATTTTGGCGATATATCTCAATTCCTTCAGAAGATAGCGTGATTACAACAGACGGACGGACGGACATGGCTAGATCGTCTTAGAATTTTACCCTATATATATATATACTTTATAGCGTCGGAAATGAATATTTCAATGAGTTACAAACGGAATGACAAAATTAATATACCCTCCATACTATAGTGGAGGGTATAAAAAGGACAGCAGGGGATATGAGAAATTTGTGAATGGAAACCAAATGACAAATGGCTTTTAAGTAATTTAATGTCACATTAATTAATTACTTTTTTACCCGAACTTACTCTATATATGAAGTTGATAAAACTAATGAGTAATGTGAATGTCGATCGATTCAAGAATTGCAGCAAAAAAATTGTTTTAGCATTATTTCCCCTTGTGATATTGTTTACAGAATTTATGTTGATGTTTTAGGATTTTGTTTGATATGTTATAAGAAAAATATGATTCATATCTATATATCTTTGAAAATTGCCGACATTATTTTTCCATGATATTACAGGTTTTTATTTTAAAATGATGCGCTAAGTAAATTTTTATTTCTGCACTCTAAAACCATTCAAATAATTGACAAAATGTTCTGATTGCTAATTTGATTTGTAATTTAGTTTATATGTTTAGTTCTATATGTTTGTGTATATTCAACCTGTGTCTTACTTACCGGAATAGGCTGCAATGCACACAAAAGGAATTATAAGCAGTAGACCTCGAAATATTTTCCGCTGTTGTAAAATAGAATACATTATTTAATTCACAGTTGCCTTCAATAAAGTGCTGTAACCTTTATCGCCATTGACATTCGTTAATTTTCACATGCTGGAAAAACAAAATAAATGAAGGATCTTATTATATTCATATTTAATTTGGTAATAACGGTCTGTCATTACTGTGCAACATATTGCTGATCGGTTAATTTATATATATAAACAAACATAGAAAATTGAATACCAAATTACAGACACTAAGGTTAGAAAAGAAAACTAGAAAAATTAAATAATAATATACATAACTTAAACGGCACCTCTATAGGTATTTACAAATACTGACTAATTACACATTTTCTGGGGAACCGTTTTAACTACGAATTTGGAATGTCAAATTGCAGCCTTTTCGGTTGTAAACTGCATTATCCGTCAAAAATACCGAAAATTGTGCAAGACTTTTATTATGCCAAAAAGTGGGTCGACGTTGAATTTTATTCTGATCAAGAGTAACTTCCCTATCCACTAAATGTTAGTACCTTATGTTTAAATATTAAAATTTGATTTTTAAATCACTCCAACTATCACAAAACATTGATATAACCAAACGACATTTTATTTTATTCTGAAAATTAATTATTGTTAACTTTTCATTAACCCTCAAAATGAATCATAATGCTGAATCTTAAGTAGACCTCGGATTTTTGCATATTTTTTATTTAGGCGTTTCATTGCTCACCTATTCGATGTAGCAGGTCATGTCAAAAATATGAAAAATATTCAAAAATATGCAATGCCTAATATCATAAAAAATGTTTTTCATTGCAATTACTTTAAATGTTAATAAATTTTTATACACATGTCAGGAATTAGTAGAAGTGAACAATTTGAACTTTCTCTACTCAATAGAAAACTAATTTTGTATATTTACTTTTCATGGTTTAATCGCTAGATATTTGGGTCATTAGGAAAAACATGCAAAATATATGCCAAAAATATGTAAACTATTCAAAATATTGTTACGTTCTTGGATTTTACTTAATCCCGTGTAGACGTTGTTTTATTTCCCAATACAGTTCGTACTAAATAAAACGCGGGTTCTTTCTGATTACGAATATTACAATGATTTTATTGTCACAACTTTACTTTGCACGTTACTTTACAGCTTTACGTTACTCGACTGTTTCAATTCGTGATCTGATTCACAACTGACTAACTGCCTCGCCATTTCCCCTATTTATATGAGCCTTGCTGTCGCTACAGAAGTTTCTAGACGATCTGGTAACACCTAGATTACGAACGATCTACCAATGCAACAAACACATACAAACTTACATTGAATGAACAATAACAACAACACATGTACAGGCGAGGGAGTAACAAAGAAAGAGGAATTAAGCGATCATCAATGATGACGTTTAACAAGAATTGTACGTCAATAACAAAATAGAAAATGAAAGAGGAAATGGAAGGATGTAGAAAAATCTATACAGTAGTTGTTGTTGTGAAGTTATTCGAATAAACTGCGTAGTAGAAATTTACGTTACAATTCAAATTCTTAAATTAACAAAATTCGTCAGAATTAACTTAAATCTAAAGTTATATTCGTAACGATATATCCAAAAATGTTCGAATAAGTATTCGAAATATATGCAAAAAATATACAAAATAAATGCTAAAAATGTGAAATTTAACATATTCGGCCGATTGTATTTTTTACGATACTCTTCTAAAATTTCCCCCTCAATAACACATTACAAATAAACCAATTTTTAACACTTTTCTTCTTTTTAATACATAATATAATTTTTAGAACTTTTACTTTTTTAAAGAATATAATTTTTAAACGATTCCTCAATAAAATGTTTATTTATGAAACGAGTAGAAATTCCAAATATTTTTCTAATATACCTTTCCATGTAGTTTTAAATATCTAAAAATTACCATGTCTATTAGAATATTTTTATTTTATAATTTACACACAGTTTCAAAAAGTGGCACATATTGTACCAAAATAAAATAGTAGCACTAATGTAGCAAAGCCGAAGAAAGAACCAATGAACACTATATTGGCATCACCGCGACTGAATTTTCAGTTCGGATACACATAATTGTCTGATGAATATGAAAGTTAGCGCTTCAACATAAGGGACACACACAGACGCACACACATTTGCTTGAAAAAAAAAACAAATAAGAAATTTTTAAACAAACATATTTTTTATTCTCTTTTGGAGCGAAGATGATTGACTGGCAGAAGATTCAGATGAAGATACTATTGAATGGGTTGGTTAATCGTACTAACTAGATGAAGAATATATCATCAAAATGTAAATAAAATTAAAAAAAATGGATTGCGTATCCATGTATGTGCCTGTCCATATGTGAAAGTGTTATTCTTATGTTCTCTTAAAAAGTACCAGATATAACCTTTTAATGATACCCATATTGCCTTGGTGGCAATAGAAAAAGGGTTGTTTTAAACAAAATATGTTCCGAAATTGCAAGCCCAATATCTCGGGAAGTATGCATTTACCCACATGAAATGTATATCACTGTAATCAGCACAAGGAGGGCTACTAACGGTAATCATTTCAAAATGATCCGAATGGAGCCTTATTCCATATCTTGTTGTTCTAGTTCGCAAAATATCTACCAATTTCAAAGCTTTCATGGCTTTACGCTCCCATAATGTTAATGCTATTGAAATTTGATATTTTGATTGGAATGTTTTGGCGAACTAGAAAAACAAGAATACTCGGATCATTTTAAATGATTACCGTTAGTAGCCCTCCTTGTGCTGATTACAGTGATATACATTTCATGTGGGTAAATGCATTCTTCCCGAGATATTGGCCTTGCAATTTCGGAACATATTTTGTTTAAAACAACCCTTTTTTCTATTGCCACCAAGGCAATATGGGTATCATTATACCGGGTATTTTTTAAGAGAACTTAAGAATAAGACATTCACATATGGACAGGCTCATACATGGCTACGCAATATATTCTTCGTCTAGTTATATAACACAAACCATAACCTTTAAAATGATACGGCTAATTAAAACAACATACTCTTCGAACTTTCAAGGCCCATATCTCAGGAAGTATGCATTTCTCCCCATATCAATGTAATCAGTTCACCGAGGACTACTTACTGTAAAAATACGGCACAAACATGTAGTAGTTGAGGTGGCAGCCCTTGGTCGAAGAATTCCTCCGAGTCAATCCGGTGCATAGAACCGGCCGCCGTGGGACTGTTTAACCTCTACCTTTCTGAAATTCCACAACCACCGGACGGCATTGAGATCGTAATGTACGCGGATGATTGTACGATCATGGCGTCGGGGCCTATTATCGATGACATTTGTGAAAGGTTAAATGTCTACATAGCTGATTTAGTACAGTTCTTCCATCTGAGGAATATGAAGATATCCGCCGCCAAATCCACAGCCACACTGTTCACCACATGGACGGCTGAAATGAAGCTCCCTCTGAACGTCATGGTCGATGGTGTAATAATTCCGACCACTAATTACCCAAAAATTTTGGGAGTAACGTTCGATAGCTTATTTAAGTCGTCCGCGCAAGCCACCGCTATTTGCGATAAGATGAGAAGTAGGAACAAGGTCCTCAAGTCGCTTGCCGGCAGCTTTTGGGGGGCTGATAAAGAGACCTTGTTGACCTCTTACAAAGCAATAGGTCGGTCGGTGGTAAGCTATGCGGCGCCAGTGTGGTATGCGAATGTAAGCGATACACAGTGGAAGAACATACAAACCTGCCAGAATGCCGCCCTGAGAACTGCGACAGGGTGCCTCCTTATGACGCCAGTGGACCATTTACATGAGGAGGCAATGGTCTTACCCGTACATCGGCACAACAGGATGTTGTCGATGCAGTACCTGCTTGGGTGTTATCGCAGGAATCATCCATGCCATAATCTTATGGATAGAATTCCCCCACCCAGGCACGTAAGGAGAGACCTACATGATCTAGAGAGAGAGGTCCAACGGTATAAGAGAGAACCCCTAGATCTTGAGGCTTATCGAGCAGGAATTACCAACATTCACACGGAAGCAGTGACCCAGGCAATGGACCAATACCGTGTGAATGCTGTACTTGGAGTCCACCCACCACCCATAGCAGCAGAAGAACGTGAGCTGCCTAGACAAACGAGAGTGGTTTTAGCCCAACTAAGATCTGGATGGTGCAGCCGCCTCAATTCGTATTGGGCCCGAATTGACAGCGCGGTTCCAAACACATGCCCTGCATGTGGATTTGGACCCCATGATACGCTGCATCTCTTTAACTGCCCTGCTAAACCCACTCATCTGTCTCCGGAATCTCTTTGGACGCAGCCGTTACAGGTTGCAACCTTCCTGAACCTGGAAACAGAGGAGTCAGAACCAGATTAATACAACAAACATGAAGATAGTTGCTACAACAACAACAACAACTGTAAAAATGTCAAAGCGATCCAAGTGGAGCCCCTAAACTAGTCTTAAGCCCAAGATATTTTGGATAAATTTTTCCTACTTTTCGGCGTAAGGAAACGCTTTTCTAGAAACAATTGCAAAACTAGTACAATATAGTACTATATTGCAGGTTTGGGAACACAGCAAAATATGTATTTTGATTTGATGGAACAAGCCACCTTGAGAAAAAATCGTATTCAGTTGTTAGCTCTGCCCTACCTTATAATAATTATACCATGATTCTATCGTATAATTTACTAATATGTAATAAGGTTTGCGATCCGACCTTTAAAATTATGGATAGAGTGGTGGTTTTTGACTTAACCCTCTCAAACCTAGATGACTCCGTCATCAGCAACTGGAGAGTATCTGATGAATGTCAAGAAACGAGATGGCGCGTGGACGGGCTCTGATTCTGAAAATCTTAACCTCTTAACATAAACCCATTTCCCAGGTTCCAAAGATGTGTATACAATCAGCATTGAGTGCGATGACATTCAACGGACGTTCTGGCTTTTTATAAGACGGATCCAAGATGAAAGAATGTACAGGGTTGGCTTCTACTATAAAAGGCTAAGCCTTGAGCTTACCCACAAATTGGATAGAAACTGTAGTGTTTTCCTAGCAGTTGAATTG